TCCCCAGTAATAAGATATCATCGGCGAACCGCAGATTTGTCAGGATTCGGGGCGGTGACCTAAGGACCCCTAAATAAGGAACGAGGCCCCTTTTTTCCATGAGTGAACCTTCGATTTCCTGTCGAAAACATAAGGAAAGCCTGAGGCAAGCTGTGAAACACTTAAGGAACGCGGAGCCCCTCCCCAACGAAAAGGGTTCCTTCTTCAGGGCCCCGACTGCAGAAGAGACGCTCGGGCGTCGGGGGAACCGGTGGAGCACCCGGCAGTGGACGGGGCCTCCGTGTCCCCCCCCCCCCGCGCGCCCTCCGTGGGGGGTCACAGGCACGCGGCGCTGCCAGGCCGGGGCACCTGGAAGTTCCAGGACGCCCCCTTGCCTGGCTAGACGCGCGCAGCACACGGGAGGGCGGGGTGGGCAACGCATCGCCGAGCCCACACCGGTGGCACAGCTGACAGGGCCCCGAACGGCAGGCCCGCCGCGGAGAGGGAAGAGGAGCGAGGAGATCGGCGCCCGCCAGGCAGGCAACGTAGGCATGATGGGCAACACGGGCAGCCCGCCTCCACAAGATTTTCCCCTACCAGAGAAGCCTGCGTGTATGTTCCGAGAAGAAACAGCGGGAAGGGCAGGGAGGAAGGAGCAGAGGAGAGCAGGGGCCTGACACAAAGGATTATGATAGAAGGAATCCCCCTGGGCCGCACCGCAGAAGAGGAACGGTTTGGTCCCAGAACCCCCCCAAGGAGGAGGAGGAGGAGGAGGAGGAGGAGAAGGAGAAGGAGGAGGAGGAGGAGGAGGAGGAGAAGGAGGAGGAGAAGGAGGAGGACGACGAGGAGGAGGAGGAGGAGGAGGAGCAGGAAGAAGAGGATAAGTGAACGATCGTCGAGGGAGGGTCAACAAGGCCAAGCACGTGCCGATACCCTGCTTGCGCTCGGACATGCCAGGAGTGAAGTCAGAACGATGCTGGGTTCGCGGAGAATGCCGTGAGCACCCTGTAGGGGAACAACAAGTGACATAAACATAAAAAACTCGGAGGTCCACGCGGATTTCCGCGCTGGACCCCCTGCCCTGGCGCGCGGAGCGCGCCAGGGGCGGCGCCGGCGGCGCCGCCAGGGGGGTCCAGCGCCGATCCGAGAAATCCGCGCGGACCTCCGAGTTTTTACGTTTATGCCGCTTTTCCTCTTCCTCCTGCTTTTCGACGATCGTTCACTTATCCACTTATCCACTTATCCTCTTCCTCCTCCTCCTCCTCCTCCTCCTCCTCCTCCTCCTCCTCCTCTCCTCCTCCTCCTCCTCCTCTCCTCCCTCCTCCTCCTCCTCCTCCTCCTCCTCCTCCTCCTCCTCCTCCTCCTCCTCCTACATCCTCCTGTAGGGCAAGAAAGACGGAGATGACATCGGCGCTGTGCCTCCTCCTCCTCCTCCTCCTCCTCCTCCTCCTCCTCCTCCTCCTCCTCCTCGCACCGCGCCGCTGTCGCGCGCTGCGGGAGCCTCGCCGTCGTCGAGCGCCCGCGGGTCCGCCCAGGGATCCTGGCGGCGCCAGGCGTCGCGCGGGCGCGGAGAGCTCGCTCGCGACCCTGCTGGAACGGGAGGCCGGGCGCAGCGGGCAGCTCGGGCGAGCAGATCCGAAGGCTTGGCGGCTCTCGGGGGACCCCAGGCGGCGCGTAGCCCAGAGCCTTCGGGAGTGAAAAATCGAAGCCAGGGCGAGGACAAACTCGGACGAGGGCAGCTCGAGAATCTCTGCGAGAGCCGGCGTCGCCGCGGCCTCCTCCGAGCGTTCTGGCACGCTCTGCTCTCCGAGAGAACGCTCTGAGAGGAGCCCTCCGGGACGCCGTGGAGCGGACTCGTCCCCGCCCTGGCCCCGTCCGAGGAAGCGGCCGAGGCTCCCCGGGAGCTCCCCGGAGCCCAGGCGGCTGGCCCCCTGGGCCCTGGCCATCGCTCGGACGCCCCTTCCCTGTGCCTTTTTTTCGGTCTCGTGCGTGGCTCTTCCGCCGAACCCAGACCCCCGACGTAATGATTTTTTCATTACGTCGACCCCCAGAGGTCCCGACCCTTTCCCCATGACCGGCTTTGCATCCTGAGTCGTTTTTTGGCGCTCCCGAGGCCCGGTGAGGGCCCCAGGAGGCCGAAAATTAGGAAAAACCTCCCGTCATGATTTTTTCATTACTCGAGGGGGTCTGGGAATGATCAAGGATGCTCCTCTCAATGGTCCTCGCCGAAGGAAAAATGCACACGTCCGAGCGGTGCCGAGGGCCCGGTGCCTGGCCCCTCGCCGTGCGGAGGGGGGCCGCCCGGCCCCCGGGGGCCGGCCTGCGCCCCCGCGGAGCACACGCTGCGCTCACCGCCGCGCGCTCGTCGCCGCGAGGGGCCGCGGCAGCGCGCGGAGGCCGGCTGCCCTGTGAGCGGGGGTCGCCGATCGCTCCCCGTCGCTGGGACGTCCCTTCCCTGCGCTTTTTTTTTCGGTTTCGTGCGCGGTTTTTTTCTTTTTTGTTTCGCAGGAGGATCTCCAGGAGGCTCCTGAGTAGAATCCCCGCCGAGAACAAGTGCACACGTGTCCGAGCGATGCCAAGAGATCGCGCCCTTGCGACAGCCGGTGGGGCTGTGAACTCCAAGGCCACGGGGTTGGGTGCCCCCGTGCTCTGGGTGCTGGGCCTCGAGGGGAGGGATGCTCGGGATCGGTCGGCCCCTCTCGGGAGGCCCCACGAAGGCCACGCAAACGCGGGCCACGTAGGCCAGACGCGGCACATTCGCCAAAACGTGGTCCGATACGTGGAGCCAGCACGCCACGTATTGACACGGACGTCTTTGAAGGGGCCCTGGGACACACAAATAAATACACACAACTAACAGGACCCTCTATATTTTCCCATATTTTCATGGTTTCTGTCTTCCCCCTCACTTCCCATATTTTCCGACATTTTCTGGGGAATCGTCCATTTATTGTGTCTGTGCGTTTCTTTCCCTCCTGAGTCTCGAACACGGCGTATCGAGGCAACCAAGGTGAGCGGGGATCGCCGCTCGCGCCCTCGCGACAGCCGCTGGGGCTGTGGGCCCTGAGGCCACGGGGTCGGGTGCCCCCGTGCTCGGGGTGCCGGGCCTCCGGGGGGAGGTGTCCCGGGAGCGGGAGGCCCCTCGGGAGGCCCCGCGGAGGCCACCATGGAAGCCCCAGAGCATGGCCCCAAGATTGCCCCACGGGAGGCCCTCACTTGGGGCCTCGTTCTGGCAATCTTGGCAATCTTACAAGGAGGCAAATTTGGGGCCTCCTTTGGGTTTTTGGGGGCCACTTTAGAAGTGGCCCCCAAAACCCTTCGGTTGACCTGCGCCAGCCGCGAGTGTCTCGAGACGGCGCGAGGGAAAAGAAACTCGAAGGCCTCCTCTGGTTCGACGGAACCAGAACCCCTCCTCCACCTCCTCCTCTCTCCAGCCTTCTGATCATCCCTTTCTCCCTCCCTCCCTCCCTCCCTTCTCCTTCCTCCAACTTCCAGGCACTGCTGGATTAGCGGTGTACGGATATACACAGGGGGTCCTCCCCTCACTCCCTCCCTCCTTCTGTCCCTCCATCTCTCCATCCGTCCCTGACCTTCTAGGCTTCCTTCGTTCGTTCCTGCCGTCCGTCTGTCCTGCCCCCCGAGTCCTTCCATCCCTCCTTCCTTCCTTCTCTCCCTCTTTCCGTCCTTCCCTCCCGTTGCCTTCCCTCTTTCCCTCCGCCCTCCCTCGCCTCCCCTCCCCGGGACGCACGTTGCAGACATCCCCTGGCAGGCCAGACGCCGATGACCCCTCCGTGAATTCGGACAATCCGCCCAGGAGGTACGCCCTCCTTCCGAGGCATGCCGACGAAAGAAGACCACGGCACCGATCCCCGCGGCCAGCACGGCACGGAGTGGAGCCACCGACGGTGCACCCGGCCAGGCAGAACCAGCACGCTGGGCAGGCAGGGCCGCCCGAAACGGCGCGCGCTCCAGGCAGAAGGGCCCGAATGCCTCGAGTTCCAACCTCCCGCGCACGCACCCTCACCCTCCTCGTCGCCGCCGCCAGGACCTGCAGCGCAGGCGGAGGAGGAACGAGGAGGCCGCCGGCCGGGGGCACGTCCTCCTGGTGGCCGCGCGCCTGCACCTCCAGCTCCCGCAGGCGGCAGCGCATCTCCACCTGGAGGCGCTTCAGGGCCTGTGGGGGGGGGGGGGCACGCCCACTGGGTCTGAGGCGACGGCGGCGTTGGGAGTCACGCGGGGGAGGGCCGGTGATGAGGGGATAGGGGGGGGCGGTGATGTGGGAGAGGGGGTGCGAGGGAGAGGAAGGCAAGGGCGGGAGGGCAGGGGGAGGAGGGGGAGGAGGAGGAGGAGGAGGAGGAGGAGGAGGAGGAGGAGGAGGAGGAGGAGGAGGAAGAGGGAGGAGGAGGACGAGGACGAGGACGAGGACGAGGACGAGGATGAGGATGAGGATGAGGATGAGGATGATGATGATGATGATGATGATGATGATGATGATGATGATGATGATGATGATGATGATGAGGAAGAGGAGGCGGAGGAGGAGGAAGAGAAGGAGGAGAAGGAGGAGGAGGAGGGGGAGGAGGAAAAGGATGGGGCAGAAGCAGGATGGAGAGAGAAGGGGAGAGAGGAGGGAGAGGGGGGGACGGAGGAGGCAGTCTGAGGAGAATGAGGAGGGTGAATGAATGAATGAATGTGTTTCATGGTCCATGTGTCTCTGCAAATCGACTGTGCTCTACAGCGTGCGCTAGTGTACCGAACGGACGAAGACGTGCCTGAAATCGGCTGGAGTTCGGCCTACTCGACGATATATCCACAAAACCAACGAACCCACCGACCCGACACTCCGAACCTCCTACACGGCCGGTGGAGCCCAGGAGGCCAGAGCAAGGCAGGGACACCGCCTTGTGCCCCGACGTGCTCGGGCAAACGACGAATTACTCACGTCCACTCAGTGTACTACGTGCACGAGTGTGCCGCTCATTAGACGCAACTTCTCGCAGAGGGGGGGGGGCGAGACGCAGCTCGCCGGCCCCAAAAAGCCAGTCCCATTCAAGGCGCACCTCACTACATCAGACAAGTTCCGATCGAGAAGCTCGACGGACACGAGCGAACCTGTCAATGAAAACAACCTCTGTCTGTGGAGGAAGAAGAGGAAGAGAAGAAAAGAACAAGAGGCAGGCACAGCGGCAAAAGGGGCGGCCTCATAACCCTCTCTCTGAGGACGCTCAGCTGCTTCGAGGAGACGACGAAGTGAGCCCGTCGAAGAGGCTCGCGAGGAAGAAGCGCGACGCGGCGCTGACTCTGTCCCAGCTGGTGGTACCCAGCTCGATGATAACGCGATAGACTGCGACTCTCCCCCAGCATTCAACGACGAGCTCAACGATAACACGGATGACTGCGACTCTCTTCCAGCATTCAAAACCGAGCTCAATGATAACGCTAGACTCTGCGACTCTCTCCCATCATTCACATCCGAGCTCAGCGATAACGCTGATGACTGCGACTCTCTCCTATCATTCAAAACCGAGCTCGTCGATAACGCTAGTAACTGTGACTCTCCTCCATCTGATGCCGAGCTCAACGATAGCGCTCCTCGTGCGAACGAGTCTCGCCAAATTCCTCGAGCACCTGCTGCGCGCGCCGCGCGATGTCCGACGACGGCGCCATCCCGCACTTGAACACGCCGCCCTGGCCGTTGAGCATGGTCTTCGCGTGCTCCCAAGCAGGCCAGGCGACTGCCTGACGAGCTGCTTCGATTTCGATCTTCGCGTAGTCCCGAGCGTGCGTCTTCTTTACACGGCAATAGGGAATGTCTTGCTGCAGGGCCAGATGTAACTGCTGCATGCCTTCGGTGTCCTTGATGGCGGCGTAGTGGGTCGTGCACCGCCCGAAGTCCGTCTTCGCCTGGGCGCTGGGTTGCACTGCTTGCTGCTCTGCGTAGTTCATGATGGCCAAGAAGATCGTCGCATGCGGAAGACCCAGCTGCTGCTCGCGCTCCTCCTTCGCCACTCCCGCTGCCTGCTGAGCGCGCCCACGGCCCGCTTCCAAGCATGCCTGCGCCATCTCGATGGCCAGCGGGCGCGCGCGCACCTCCAGGTCCGATGCCGCTCGAGCCACTCGAGCCTGATACTCTGCTGCCAATCCTAACTTCGCCACGAGAATCAGCATGTCCTTCAAAACCTTCAGGTTGTCTTTGTCGGCTTCTTTCAGCGCCTTGCCACGAGGCTCCTCTCTGCGGGCTCGCTGCGCTGGTGGAGGCAGGCCGAGCTCGAGGGGCATGGCCTCTGGGTGCTCGTGCGGGAAGGTGGCCGAACCGAGCTGCCAACTCTGGGGTGATCTCGAGCCCACAACGAGTTACCGATGAGTGAATATGTCGAGGCCCTGCTACATGTGTCCGAACATGAATCTGATACTTGGCCAACGAGGTAAAGTGCTGCTCACACAGTGGACATGGGATATCGGCCACGTCTGGTGCATGTTGCGGCGTGATAGCGTGATCTGTAAGACGCCGATTCTAGATGAAGGCATGACGTGCATGAGAGACTGCGCAACCACGACTGCTGAATACTGAGGAGCACCATGGGCACATACTGCTCTGCACGAACTTGTCAACATGTGCGTCTCCGTTCAAACGCCCAGCACGACATTGATGGACTCGGAGGGCTCCAAGGGTCTCAAAGTCTCTCCACATTCCTGGCCATTCGCAAGAATATCCTAACATCGATACGCGCGTGCATGTGAGGGCTCATCATCTGGGACCTGCCGGGGCTCCTGGTGTCCAGGAGGAGGCGCAGCAACTGTGAGGTATTTACTCCGAAGTTCATAGACGTCGATATCCAGGAAGTGGGCTGTGAGGTCCTTATCGAGTAGGAGCTTCTGGGGGGGGCCCTCGCACCTCCCCGCGGAAAAAAAAAGCCCCCCCCCCCCCCAAGCTCCGCTAGCGAATCCACATCCTCAATCATTCTTTTCAAGAAGAAGTTGGAGGACCCGCGCCCAGCGCGATCCACTGGGCCCTGTTCGAAGGGCATCTGAGGAATCAGGAGGATCGCGAGGGGCTGATCGCTTTTCTCTGGGGCCCTGAACGTCGCCCGGCACCGCCCGGGTCTCTGATTCCTGAGCTCCAACGAGACGGGTGCAAGTCGAAGCGCCTGCAAAATCCGATCAGCCGCATGGCTGGTCTTCCTCTCGGTGCCGTCGGGGAGGGTGACGGTGGTCGCGGCGGCGCCCTGCGTCAACTTGCGGCAGTTCCATATCTGATTTCGGTCGAGCATGGCTTCGTCCTCGCTGCAGAAAGGAAGTCCAAAGACACCGGGCATCAAGCGAGCCATGCAAATCATCCGAAAAAAGAACCAGCTTGCAATCGCGGCGCACACTGCTGAACCAGCACTTGTGAAACATATGCCAATTTCTTTTGCAAGCCCGAATCCGACGATTGATCTCGACGCCTGTGTAACCGCGATAATGAAGCATGGGTCCCAGATATCGGGCCTCGCGTAGTGCGCGCCCCGGCGTCCAAGAATCTGCGCGCGCGTCGCTGTATGGGCCCCGATTGTTTACCCATGAAAAAGCGGCGGCCTCAAGCTTCTTCCCATTCTGCGCGCGCCCGATCTTCAGAAGATGTTGCGACAACGAATCGATGCACTGAGCGGTCGCGCCCCGCATCTGGGCAAAGCCATTCGCGCAAATAAGGCGCCTGGCGTCATCTGCGAATCCAAAGATCGAGCAGTCGACGATGTTGTCCCGGACAGTTGAAGGTACCTGTATCTGTGGATCCTGCGTGCCAGCTTGCCAGTCATCTATGGATGCCACGTGCGCTTTCTCAAATAAGCCCGCCCCAAGTGAGCGGCCCTGCGTTGCGCCCTCGCTGTGGTGACAGTGAATCTGCCGTCGATAGCCTCGCATTCAGTTACACTGCCGCCGATCCTGTCATCAAAAAGCTTCGCGTCGCTCTCCGCGCTGGTGGGAAATATGATGCTGTCATGCTTTACACACTTGAAAGCGTTGACTGCATCGATGTTGAGAGCGATATGCGACTGCTTGGCCTGTCGTAACCGATCCATCATAATGGTGGTAGCTGCTACTGCCCCCTCGCATCGTCGTCCAGGAATGCGATGCGCATGAGGATATATAGCGTCAGCAAGCTGCTTCCGAAATAGACCGCGGGAGAAGGGGCTGCTCCATGCGCCATAGCCGTGCACCCATCCGGCGCCGTCGATGTCTTTGGGGATTCCGGAACAAGGGGGAGAAAGAAAGACGCGCCATATTCCTGAAGGTAAATCCCAGTCTGGAGCAGGTCGCCGGTTTTCTGCCTTGCCGAGAGCTTGAACGGTACGAAGAGGGTCACGTTCGGCTTCTGGTCGCACTGCCGCCGATGGAAGTAGACATGTTCGCTGGGCCTGGACAAAGAGCATCGCGTCGGTGATCCTTCGCGCCCCCCATCCTTTGAGAGCGCCAGCCTTGGAGAATCGAGCTTCAGCTTCAGCACCTGTAAACTTAAGAGTGATAGGTCGTCCGCGCCGTCGTCTTTTCGATCCTAGCCGCTTGCCCGTTATCACGCGTGCCAGCTGATGTGATTCGGCGTGTCTTTTTTTTCACTCCATGCCTGAATACAAGCTTCGATGAGAGTCAATTGTCTGTCTGTCTGTGCGTTTGTTTATATGCGTGGGGACCTGGCGACTGGCCCGTCCAAGTTTTGCTGCAACTCGCCATCCATGAAATAGATCACGCAATGAATGCATGACTGAGCCAAATCCCCAGCAGCCGAAAGATATGTCTCAAGGGTCCGTGTCCATCATGTGTCCACTGCTGCACCACTGCCTGCCGAAGACCACGTCGTTCTCGGAGACGTTGGAGCTTGGCCCGTGACTTATTCGGAAGATCTTCGCCGGGCATGGGGGCGAAGCATTGCTGCGCGATCTGCTGTAGCCCATCAATGAGAAACTGCCATGCCTGAGTAACCGATCCCGTCACAATGAATTGCTGCCACTGCTCTTCACTGTTCTGACACCATTGCGCTATATCAAAGTAGGTGAGATCCCTTCTCGCGCCGCGCATCATCTCCTGCAACATACGTTCGTGGTTCCAACGCAATTCCCGATATTTCCCATCGTACTGCAACTGGATATCACACTTAATCTGAACAGGACGGTGATCCGCTCGCCGAAGACTCCGAATGAGCTGAAGTCGGTCACCTGCTCGATCCAGAACAATTGCCGAATGTATAGCACCTGAGGTAAGATAACCGCCCTGAGGGACACACATATAATCAATACGATTCTGAGAGTTCGCGCCCAGGTTGTAATGAGTAGGTCCAGCACCATGCGGAAAGAACGTATTCGTAGCACATCAATGAAAATCGATCCAAAACTGCCTCAAGTAACTTCCGTTTGTGTTAGTCGGTTCACGAAAGTGTGGGCCGATGGCGAAGCAGTCGCCCGGACACGGAACGCCTTGTGGCCCTGAAAGTGTACCAACTCTGCCATTGCCGTCCATCATGATGGCCGGTAGCGCAGGCGCTGGAAAGCTGGCTATAGTCTGGGACAACCACCCCAGCAACTTCTGAAATGGAGACTTGGGCTTGTGATTGCCAATGTTCTGGGGAGGAAAATATGCGGATACCCACGCCACATCCTCATTCGCAGTTCGTGTCCTGACGCGTATACCTCTTCCCTGAAGATTGGGGTCGTTTGGTACTTCGGTTTCTTTGATTGAGGGTTCTCGACAGAGATTTCGACGAAGCCCGATAGCAACTCCTGCATGCTTGTTCGATCTTCGCCCGTATCCAGCAGAAAAGACACTCTCATTCCAAGTGCTCCTCTGTTCTATCGTGAGATCGTGTCCTGGCAGACGGGCACCCTGAAGTCCGATCGCGGCCTTGTTCCTAAACTCGCCGAAGATGTCGTCCAGACGCCCGCACTGCAGCACAGACATCGGGCTGTAACTGACAACCTGCGCTGCACTGGAATAAATACGAGAAACGGCGCTCCTCGCGCCCGAGTAGAAGAAAGCATCGGTCCCCCCCGATCTCTTGTAGACAAGCACTGGGACAGAAGGATTGCGCGCAGCCCCATAGCAGTCAGCTCGGGCCCGCGGGCTAGGAGGAGGATGAGGAGGAGGAGGAGGAGGAGGAGGCACAGCGCCGATGTCATCTCCGTCTTTCTTGCCCCACCCCCAGGGAAGGTCGGTGGCCATCCTAGCGGCGCTCCCAGTCGCTCGGGCTTCCGCAGGCGGGATCACTGCCAAGGTCCTCCTATTGTCCTCCGCATGCATCAGCCTGTGGGCAGGTTCGCCTCCGACGGATCACCGAGGGCAAGCCTACGGAGGGAGTCATTCGCAACAAGCGCCCCAGCGACTAGCTCCCCGAAGCGACAGCGCCACCGATGGTGCCGAAGCGAGTTAGCGCCACTCTCGCACCCAAAGATGCCTCCCCCCCCGCTCCCTCGTTGCGCATCCTCGGAGGAGGAAGACGCGGATACGGAGGAGAAGGAGGCGGGTAAGGATAAGAAAGAGGAGCAGGTGGGGCAGGCGGAGCAAGAGGAGCACGAGGGGGAGGAGGAGGAGGAGGAGGAGGAGGAGGAGGAGGAGGAGGAGGAGGAGGAGGAGGAGGAGGAGGAGGAGGAGGGGGAGGAGGAGGAGGAGGAGGAGGAGAAGGAGGTGGTGGAAATTGAGGATGAGAGGCATGTGGAGTGGGAGATGTGGGCCCATGTGGCCCCTGGCGCGAGAGATCCGCCGGGCAGCACACCCCGAGTCAATCTTTGACTGACAACGCCAGGGCCGGACCAACTGGAACGGATCCGAACAAAAGCCTACATGGGGTTCAGCAGGGGAGAGATCCTACGCCCAATAGCAAAAAAGACTCGCGCGAATTGTTCACAGGGTTGTGAATACACTCGTCTTCCAAGTTATCCCGTACATGCACTCGTCTTCGGACGTATCCCAGAACGGACCCCGCCCCGAAGTGCCCTGAGGATTTGCCCACGCCTGGTTTCGGCGGTCTCCTCCTCGTCGTCATCATCATCCTCCTGCTTCAACCCCATCCTTCACCTCCTCCTCGTCCTTCAAGCTCTCTCGTTCCTGTCCTTGTGTCTCCTCCTCCTCCTCCTCCTCCTCCTCCTCCTACTCCTCGATTCTGCCACGGTCCTTACATACCCTTCGGTCTGATCTGAATGAGCCTTGAAACCAACGCTATCGGAAAAACCTCCTTACACTCATGCCGAGGACCTCCATTCCGCCTCCCCCCCCCTTTGCCGCAGTCCCCTGGCTCTCCTGCCGACCGCTCCGCCCTGTTCTGACATGCTCGGCTTCATGCGTTCCTTCGTGCTCCAGTGCGCCATCACTGCGCGCACTGCCCAGATTGCACCTCGTCCCCCCTCTCCGTAGCACTGACCGCCGGGCCTCCGTCGACCACTTACGCCGCGAGGATTTCGAGCCATGGTGACCGAGCCGTGGCGCAGAGAGGGGCCCCGATCGTCACAGCCTCTCCGCACAGCACGGCGCCACCGGGGGAGCGAGCCGAGAGTGTGGAGAGACCGGCGGCGTCTCGGCGGCCACAAGGAGGCGGCACGCAACCCGCAGCGTGCTGACGTGGAGCTCAGCGCGTGGACCGAAAGCGCAGGCATGGCCCGATCTGGCCATCGCTCGGACGTCCACTCCCTGTGCTTTTGTTCGGTTTCGTGCGTGTTTTCGCCACATGATCAAGGATGCTCCTCGATGGTCCTCGCCGAAGGAAACATGCACACGTCCGAGCGATGCCAAGCCGATACGTTCGCCAGCACGTGGGCCAACACGCTTTCTGATACCGCGGGTCGAGAGCGCACCTCCTTCGGTTGAAGCTGAGCGGGCCGCGCGGAGCTTGCATGTGGGCAGAGAGGAGGAGGGCCGAGCCGACACGCGCCGAGCCAACACGCGCCGTGGGCAGCGAAGGGTGGCGCGTGCCGCGCCTGATTCTCCTCGGCCATGCTGGCCTTCGCGCGCTCCTCGAGCACGTCCACGCCCCGGGGCTTCTTGCCTCCGGCCTGCAGCGTCCGCGCGCGCCTCAGGCCCAGGGGCTTCTCCACTCCTCGGGGGCGGAGGCGCAGGCGAGGGAGGCTGCAGCGCGAGCAAGCTGGAAGGGCTGAGCGGCTCACGTCGCTCGGAAGAGAAGTGGGTCAAAGCCTGAAGTAGGAAGGCGGGCCAGGCAGATGGGTTTCAGGCCCGGCAGGAGACTGCGGCAAAACACGGCAAAACCACATCTGTTCTTGCAGCAGGAAGGCGCCTGAAGTAGACTGGGACCTGGTGATGCGTATAAGAATGCCCACCTTCCACGACCGACGAGCAGAAGGATGCAGCAGGGCCCGCGTGAGCCAAAACATCGAGGCCGAAGCCGGAGAATGTGACAGAACACAGCAAAGCCACATCTGTTCTTGCAGTAGGAGGGCGCCTGAAGTAGACTGGGATCTGGTGATGCGTATGAGAGTGCCCACCTTCCACGGCCGACGAGCAGAAGGATGCCGCAGGGCCCGCGTAGTAAGCCAAGACATCGAGGCCGAAGCCGGAGGCCCGTGGTGACGGCCCCGGGCCGGGATGGATCGAACGACGCCCGTGAAAGACTACGGTCGGGGCGTTGGCCTCAGGAGCGATAAATACGGATCGAGGCCAGTTGTATTACCTAAGTTAAAAACTTCGACTTCCCATGGAAAGCCGAAAGAAAGCCCGCGGCGAACTGTAAAACAACCAAGGAACATGGAACCCCTCCAAAGCGAGAAGAGCTCCTTCTTCAGCGCCCCGACTGTAGATCGAGAGGCGCCCTTGAAAAACTACTCTTCCTGGTGATGCGGTCTAACTGTGAGGCGGCTCGTTCAGCTGTGTTTCTATGCGGCTGCTGGTCCGTAGCCGAAGACGCTCAACCATGGCCAGAACACGTGACCCACTCCGTAAACCTTCGTACCCCCCAGAAATAGCTGGCATCTCCTGGGGGGGAACCTTTGCTTTCGCCAACTTTCCTCTTTGCTTCCGTCAGCTTTCCACCGAGGACAAACCCTTGCATGCGGGGGCTTGTCTGGAGCGCCATACAATCAAAGTTCTGCCAACCTCGGATGAGCAACGGCATCCTGTTGGGCCTCAGTTGCGCCTGACGGTGAGCGCAGCAGGACACCAAACCGATGGGGCCATGCGGGTCTGTTGGGGCCTTGCGCGTAGTCTCCGCCCTGCACGTGGCCTGCGTAGCTGCTGCCCCGTCTGTTGCCCGCCTCGGTCGGCCCCTCCTTCTTCCTCCTGCACCTGCTTCTTCATGAGGGACGTGGAGGAAGAGGACGAGGACCACGGGAAGGACGATAATGAGCAGGAGCAGCAAGATGATCAGGAGGAGCATGACGATGAGTGGTAGGATGCGGACAAAAAAGTAGGAGTAGCAGCAGGAAGAAAGTGGAAGCCCTGAGCCCCTTGTCTGGAGCCTTCCTGACCAGATTTTGTCAGCCGCCCTCGTCTGCGAGACCGACCGTCACATCAGGTACGACATGCGCCCGTTTTGTCCCAACCACGACACTGGTCACAGGAGACCTAGAAGCTTCACCCTGTCCTCCTCCTTCTCGTCAATGTCCTCGTTCGCCTCCTCCTCCACCTCCTGCTCATTCTCTTCCTCCTGGCCCAAGTACATGTCCATGTCCACGTTCAAACCGTCCTCCTCGTCCTCCTCGACCTCCGATCCTCCTCCTCCTCTTCCTCCTCCTCGTCTTCATCCTCCTCCTCTTCCTCCTCCTCCTCCTCATGATCCCCCTTCTCCCACTCCTCATCATCCTCCTCCGTCCCCCTTTTTTTTGTTCCTCTCTCTCTCTCTTTGATTGATACGTGATTACTCCACTGTAGAATGTCCCACGAAGCAAGCATGTGACACAACTGCACAAAAGAGAGAAGGCAGACTTGGGCGTACAATTCAGACATGGGGCCGAGCTGGACGGAGTCAACGCCGGCAGGAACGGCATGTCAACGACCACTCCCACGAGACCAGAAGGTTGAACAGCCCTCACCAAGGCCGCTTTTCCAGCTGAGCAGGTGAAGGCCACACTCTGCACGAGCTGTTTGGCTCTAGGGTAACAGAAAAGGAGCGAGCCTGCGGCGCGCGCGCGTGCGTCGGCCGGCGGGCCGGCCTCCTCCCTTCAGGGCTACCCTGTTGCATGCTTAACGGCATCATCCTTTCTTCCCCATGTCATCGGCGAAGCCCACTGACCATGAGATGCCAACGGGACCTCTTGCAGGGATTATGAACTCTGCACATCATGAGAGATGGCTGTTAGGATGGCGCGGGTCAGTCAGGCTTGGCGGTCAGGAGCTGAGCGAGGAGCACCGCCCTGGCCGACCTGGCACTCCAAGGGGACCAGGCCTTCCAAACACGCTCCTGGAACTGGTGTCGGCCCCCTGCTTCGACAACAGAAGACTGCGCACAAGAGACTTCTCTGGAGGGCCTCGTGGGCACTGCCTGGGCAGAACTTCTGACGGCATGCTCCCGAAAGCCCCATAGTCAGCGCGCCTCCCGACGTGGCCCCCTCCAAGCCACGACCGGTGGGAATGGTGGGCATGTCGGGCAACACGTGAGGGTTCCCGGTATGGAAACAGGGCGACACGGGCGCGAACAAATTAGACCTTCCCAAATCTCTCGATGGCGTGCCCCCCTGGGATCAGGCACGAGCTCGAGGACTGGCACATTATTCTTGCGGCAAGCGCGGGGGCCTAACACGAGCAACGTCGGGCAAGTTAGAACGGCCGAGGTCGTCCATGACCTCTGCAATCGACCAAACACTCTGTCGCACCTGCTGCACCGCGCGCTCACGGCGTGCTGTAACATACGGGTAGTGGGGATGCCCAGGTGCCCCAAACCTAGCTAGCCCATCACCGCGCTTATTCATATGCCAGGCCCAGGGCTCGTACACCTCAAGGCGGGCCTGAGTGAGGGATAGGTGCGTCTTGATCCGAACTAGCCTAGCGCGGTCCCAGCCGTGGTCGATACCCCATCAGCGAAATCTCAACCCAACGCTCCGAGCAGGCTAG